TCAGAGCAAGAAATGTCGAGGAGGATTAGTGAGATGGCTGGAGACCTGGAGTGCAGTGGGAAGCAGCTGCTGTTCCTGAGCAGGCTGTGACCACTCAGCCTTGCTGATGGGGTTTGGGAGGATGCTCAGCTGGCTCTTGCTGTAGGGAGCTCGGGGTGTGTTTTGGTACCAGGGCTGGGCTGGGCTGGGTCTCTGTGTCGGTGATTTAAAGCCCAGGGAACTGGTTTTGTTGGTGGAGGGGGGAAAAGGCCATTTGGAAACCTGTGTTATCTCCCTCGGGGCTCTGATACCCGCTCTGCAGTCATTGAATGCCAGCAAGGCAAGGCTGGGTGCTCCTCTGAGCTTACCAGAACCCAGCCTACCAAAACCCAGCCTTACCCCCCAGACCTGCTGCTTGGGGGTGACCCTGATGCCCTGATGCCAGAGCCACGGGGACTTGGCTGCTCTGAGCCTCAGCGTGGCAGTGCCAGGAGGAAAAACAACTGCATCCAGCACTGCATCCATCTCTTCATCACTGCTCGGCCGGACCAGCTCCTTCCCACCCTCAAAGACTCAAAGATCCTGACCTTCCCAGGTCAATGTTCCAGCCAAGGCAAGTGGGGATCCTTTGCACTGGATCAAGGTTTTAATTAGCAAAGGATCGTGTGTTTTTTGCGTGATTTGCTCGGTGCCAATCCCGGCGAGGAACGAAAGTTTTACTTCCATTTCCCAGCGCTCCGTGAAAGCAGCTTCCGTCAGCGCTGCCTGTGCTCTCGGCCGTGCTGGATATGGCATTTCTATTTTTAGAAGCCAGGGTTGCCATGGCAACCCAGTGTATTTTTTTTCTGTTAAATATAGCAGCTGTTGCAGGGAACTCTTGTCCTTCTGGATGTGAAGGCTGTGTTTTCTGCCCTCTGACAGAGCTCAGGGTATTAAAGGCAGATGAGAAGGGATGATTAAATAAGTGGAAGCCCAGAAGAAACCATGGATCTGTAATTACACAGAGGGGTTTGGGATGAAGCTGTGCATGGCTGCTGCTTTGGAAGCAGCATTTCTGCATTGAAAATGGTGTGGGGAAAGGGATAGGGAGCTTTTCCGTGGGGGGGCCCGTGAGATCACCCATCCCCTCTCTCTCCAGCTGGAATGCTGGTGCCCAATCTGCCTGGTTTTTTGCTATTCTGGTCTCTGCCCTGCCAGGGGACAGGCTGTGCCAACCAGGGCTTGTCCTGTCTGGGAGGTGCCAAACAGGTCTTGCCATCAGAGGGTCCCTGTGGGAAGGAAGGAACCTTTTGGGAAAACCGAGTTTTACTCCCATCCACACTTCAGGAGCTCAAAGAAGGGGTTTGTGGGGCGGGGTTGGGGTCTGGAGCTCCATCCATCTCTTGCTGGGTGATGGGCACCTCACTGGAAGCTGTGGGAAAGGTGCAGATTTCATCTCCAGGGCTGCAGGATCACGCTGCCCCCCACAACAGTGACGTGCCCGAGCTTTGGGGCTCGATGGGAAGTAAACTGACTCTGTTCCTTTACTGTTTTTAATAAGTTTTTTATTTACTGGATCCCTGCAAAGTGCAAACACATCCCTCAGGGGCTGGTTGCCATCTCCTGGGAGGAGGGAGGAGGAGAAGGGTGGGGAGCACAATCGCTCAAGCCAAGGGCGATCTGTCAGCTGGGAGATGGAAACCTTTTTTTTAATTAACTAGTCTTTGCTTCATTAAATGAATAAGAAAACCAGAGAACAGCAGGGCTCTGGAAGTTCCTTTAAAAAGTGGATGCAACAACAAACAAATAAAGAAACACTATTAAAACAGCTTGAGTTTAAAGTGTCCGTGGAGGTCACTGTGACCAAGGCTTTGAACAGGAATAACACATCTCTGGGAGTCTTATCTGTTCCCTCAGTTATCGTGAGTGGCATCTATTGCTGGGGATGTTATTGCTTTTTTGAATTTAATAGCAGAAGCATTGCTTAAGCAAGCAGAAAGCTGCAGGGGAAGAGCTGCCTCTGTGGACACCAGGGGCTGGAGTTCACCCTCTGCTCCCACCCGGCTCCTCGGCCACCCCTGCGAGGTGATCGTGAGGGCTGGGGGATTTTGAAGAGTCAGGGGTTTAGGAGGCAGTAGGATGGAGTCAAATGCTGGCTTTGCTGCTGCCTGTACAGTGGAGTCCATCCAGGCCCCTCTGGAGCTGGAGCCTGTTTCCTCACTGGTAGAGCATCCTCTGGCTGAGGGCAGAAATACAGGGCTCATCCCTAAGGAAGTGCTGCCTGTAATGGAGGAAGGAAAGGCTGCCACATCAAATCTGAAGATCTCCTTACATCCTTCGGGGAATGGGCTGTCAGATATTTCTGGCCCAGAAAATGTAGCTTGCAGCTGGGAGGGGGGGTCAGGGCAATCATTTTAATGGCACTGTGGTTTTAATCCAGCACGAGGTGAAGGATTGGAGTGGGCACAGCCATAAAAAAGTGTGTTTGCACATGGAATCGTGGAATGGTTTGGGTTGGAAGGGACCTTAAAGTTCATCCAGTTCTACCCCCTGTCGTGGGCAGGGACACCTCCCACTGCCCCAGGCTGCTCCAAGCCCCGTCCAACCTGGCCTGGGACACTTCCAAGGATGGGGCAGCCACAGCTTCTCCTTTGGTGAACCCCAGTGCCCAGTGGTTGGACCTGAAGGACTTCATGCAAAAGTCCTGTCCCTCAGGGTGTCCTTTGGAGTGGCCTTGTCAGACAGCCAGGCAAAGGCCACCCACCCAAGGGCTGAGGGCAGAGCAGCTCTGTGCCATTCCCCATGCTCTCCCCAAGGTCAGTGGCCCTGGATTTCCCATAAAAATGCATCTCCCATATTGGTCTTTGGAGCCACTTCCCTGTCATGACACTTCCTGCAGGGTTGGGTATCGTGCAGCTATTCCTGCTGGGATACCCAGGAAGGGACAGACATTCCCTGTCACATCAGCCAGCATCCCACCTGGGCTGTACCCACTGCCAGGCAGGGGGGGCCAGGATCTGTCCTTCCTCCATGTCCAGCTGGTTCTGCCCATGGATAAACCCCCTGCTGGTGCCAGAGGCGGAGTTTCCCCAGGAATGTGTATTTATTAAAACCCCTGCCTGTGCTTATATGTCCACTTCCCTGTGTATTCAGTGACCCTCTGGGTGTTTATGCTCCCTGCTTTCCCCAAATTGATTTATGGGCTCATTGTAACCTCTCCATTGTGTTCCTTCCCCGCTCCGGGCAGCGATCCTGGGAGGTTTTCCCTTTCCCCCTGAGTGGTGGCTGCTCCATCCCTCAGCCATGGGCAGTGAGCTGCGTGAGGAAGGACCATGGCAGGGGCACACTCCACCTGGTCTGGTGGAAGGTGTCCCTCTCCGTGGCGGGGGGGTTGGAACGAGTTCAGCTTTAAGGTCCCTTCCTACCCAAACCATTCCGGGATTCGGGGATTCCATGATCCTGTGATGCAGCCCTGAAGCCCTGAAGCCCTGTACCCAGCACTGCAGGCTGCAGCAGGCACACAACTCATCCACGAGGGTGAAGAAGGAAGCTTTGAGCACCCCCTGAAGAGACACATCAGCACCTGCTCCGAGCTGGATGAGAAAGAAGGAAGGAGCGAGTTACCTTCCCACAAGTGCAGAGGTAAGAGGAGACAGGGATCCCAAAACCTCTAGAAATGTGGCCCAAATTCCCTTGTCTTCAGGTCTGTACCTAAATGGGAAGCACCTTTTGAGGTTGGTATTCCCACCTGGCATCCCTGCTGGAGTCACTGCAAGGGCAGGGCTGTTCTGGAAATGAGTGTTTTCCACATCAAGGTTTTTTTTCCTCTGGGGAAAATGTGAATATGAGAGGAGTTTTTGCTTGTTCCCCCTAAAAGCTGAGAGTTCTGCTTTCTCCTTTCCAAGCTCGGCCTGTATCTGTTCTCAGCCAGTCCAGCAGTAACATATTTTTGTGCCATTTGGGGAAATTCTCACAGAGAGGAGTCTCTGATTCAAGGGGGGAGTCCATAACATCTGTGTGAGTGAGAGTTTCTGGGCACCAAGAAAACAGGGAGCAAGTCCAGGTTGTGGACTCCCCATCCCTGGAAGTGTTCAAGGCCAGATTGGACAGGGCTTGGAGCAACCTGGGCTAGTGGAAGATGACCCTGCCTGTGGCAGAGGGTTGGAGTGAGATGATCTCTAAGATTCCTTCCAACCCAAACCATTTAATGGTTTCTAGTCAGTCCTTAGTGAAGGCAAGAAGTTTTTGAAGGAAGAAATTCAGACAAGTCACCCTGGGAGTGAGACCAGGAGTCTCTTGGGTGCCTTAGAACCTGTGTTTGTCATGGCTTCATTCCCCTTCCCAGTTTAGGAGAAAACCCATGGAGAAGACCCCCGGGAAGAGCAGGGTGGGGAAGGGATTATGGTCAGATTTGCCCACAGACTGTGAAGCAGCCAAGGCTTCCACCATGTCCTAAAGGTCTCCACCATCTCCAAAATGTCCCCACCATCCCCATAAGGTTTCCACCATCCCCATAAGGTCTCCACCATCCCCATAAGGTTTCCACTATCCCCATAAGGTTTCCATCACCTCCAAAAGGTCTCCACCATCCCCATAATGTTTCCACCATTCCCATAAGGTCTCCACCATTCCCATAATGTTTCCACCATCCCAAAAGGTCTCCACCATCCCCATAAGGTTTCCACCATCCCCATAAGGTTTCCATCATCTCCAAAATGTCTCCACCATCTCCAAAAGGTCTCCACCATCCCCATAAGGTTTCCACCATCTCCAAAAGGTTTCCACCATCCCCATAAGTTTTCCACCATCCCAAAAAGGTTCCTGCTGCCCCTGTGGGAATGGGGGTTGTTGGATCAGCTCTTCTGCCCGACCCAAAGCCGTGGCAGGAGGTGAGGAAGCAGCAGGCTGAGCTTTCAGTAGGATTGTGACCCCGCTGGCTTTCAACCCACCCTAAAACCCAGGGCACCACGGAGGTGCTGGGGCAGTTGTGCTGGTGCCTCCAGCCTGTTATCTTTAAATTATTTTTCTTTTTTTTAGATTTAGCTATTCCAAACCCTTTGCTCAGTCCCTTCTAAGAGGAAATCCAGGAAAACTGTGTTTGCCTTTGCTGTGATCTGAAGGTCAGTGAAGTGGAGTTCTATGTGGGTAAAGCACCTCCCTTCCCTGCAGAGAAAGCTTTCCACCTTCAACCCAAAATCTGTTGTTTTCTCGAGTGGTTGAGGGTGTTTTGGGTTTTTTTTCTTTTTTTTTTTGTGTTGGTTTGAATATTTTGGGGGTTTTTTTGGGTGTTGTTTTTGGAGGAGGGTTGTGAGGTTTTTCTTGAGGGGGTTTTGGAGTGGGGTTGGGTTTTATTTTGGGAGGGTTTTTTTGGTTGGTTGGTTTTAGGGGTTTTTTTTTGGCTATTTTTGTGTTTTGTTATTTTGGGATAGCTTTTTTGGTTTGGGGGAGGTTGATTTTTGGGTGTTATTTTGGTTTTTTTTGGGGGAGGTTGAGTTTTTTTGTTTGTTTTCAGGGATTTTTGGACTTTTTCTTGGGAGGGTTTTTTTGGGGGGGGTTGGATTTTTGGGGGAGTTTAGGGGCGTTTTGTGGGTTGTTTTGTTTGGGGTTTTTTTGTCTTTTTTTGAGGATTTCAGAGTTTTTTGGTGGGTTTTCTTGTTTTTTATAGGGGGAGGGTTTTTTTGTTTGTTTTTTTTTCTGAGGGATCAGGCTTTTTTGTTTGTTTTGGTTGGTTGGTTTTGGTTTTTTTTCTCTCCAAATAAACACCACAGCACAGTGCTGGCCCTCCAGGGAGGGGGGGTTTGGCAAGGAGGCAATGATGGGGTGTCTCAGCCCCTCTCCCACTCTCTGTGTTTTCCAAAGGCCTCATCCTTGCTGCATCCTGCCTTTAGTGCTCCTGCCATCCCTGTTGGCTCCATGTGCAGCACACAAGTGCCTGTAAAGGGCTTGGAAGAGGAAAAATAGGTAGATTAGGAGAATCACAGATTGGGTGGAGGTAATAATTAATGGTAATAAGACTGTGAGTGGGACCCTCCTTGGGCTGGGTTATAAAGACCCTCCAAACCCCCCTACCCCTGCAGAGTGACCCCTTTGCTCACTCTTTGTCTTTCATCCTCCCGTGCACCAATTCCTTCTCTGGCTTCCCATTTTTTCCTCCTCCTCCCTGGAATTTGGATCAGGTGCCCCTTTCTGTGGCCAGAATATGCCTCCTCTGTATCTTCCACCTAGCTTGTCACGTGTAAAGAAAAAGAGGGGGGAATAATAATGATAATAATGATAATTTTAATCCCTTGTCAGCCCTCTGATGACACTCACTGTGTCCTCCCACCCCAAAGCCACAGGAAGCAGAGCCCAGCTCCCAGAGGCTGTCAGCATGAGGAAACAGGATCCCAAACAATGCCCTCAGTGCTTTCCAGGAGGGCAATCCCTGGGGTGTTCTCCCACCCAAGAACCACCTCACAAAGAAGTGTAATTTCTCTTGTCCTTTGGAGCCACAGATGCTGTTTAAAATCCTCTCCCACCCTCGTCCCCACGTGCCCTGTCCATGGGGGGACAAGGGGAGTGCTCAGCACACACCCTGATACCTCATCCCGTGTGGAATTTAAGCTGCTCCATGATCCGTTTCATTTCTGGCAGCAGTGGGGAAAAAGAGAGCCTCCAAAATCTATAAATCAACCATCTCTCAAATTGTGTGGGATTAAGGAAAAGGTGCAGAATAGAAATAATTTCCATGGGGGAAAGCAAATGATTTCATTTGCCCAGGAAAAGAATGTCTTCATTGGTGTCTTCCAGAGACTCTAAAAAGAATTAAATGAGGGCTCAAAGGATGTAATTCTCACAGAATCATGGAATCTTGCAAGGGTTTGGGTTGGGAGGGTCCTTAAAGCTCATCCCAGACCAACCTCCATGGGCAGGGACACCTTCCACTATCCCAGATTGCTCCAAGCCCTGTCCAGCCTGGCCTTGGGCACTTCCAGGGATGCAGGGGCAGCCAGACCTGAGGGTGGTTTCTCTGGGGGAAAAGTGGGTGGAAGAAATTTCCCTCCTCCCCTGTGTCCTGGCTGTTTATGCTTTTCCTACCGCTGCTGTTCACTGCCCCTCTCCTCACGTTGGTACCTCCTTGTCCCCCCACCACAGCCCCCAAAACCTCACATCCAAAATGAAGCACTGGAAGAGGCCAAACACCAAAACCTGTCACGGGGCAGTTTATTGCTAACTTTTCAACCCGATGTGGGATGCTATCCAGCATTTAAGACAGAAACTAAAACTTTTGATTCTCTCCCCGCCAAAATACAAAGCAAAACCCAGCAACAGGCCCTGTCCTGTCAGCTGTGATCCCACCAGTGTCTGTGGGGCAGGGGTCCTCTGGCAGGGCTGGGAGGTGGTGGAGATGGATGGTGGCCTCTTCACAGCCTGCAAACTCTCATCCAATTATCGTTATTGTTATTATTGTTATTATTATACCTCCTGCTCTGCTGCAAATAAGCCTGTGGAGGTGTTTTCTGGGTCTTTTGTTGGGCTTTTTGGAGTTGTCTCAGAACTGGATGTCAAATTTCTGGCAGCTCTGAAATAAGTGGTGGTGAGAGTCCTGCCTCTTCGAGGACCCTGTGGTCATGTTGCTCATGGGAGGAGGCTCTTTGTGTGTTTGTGCTGGTTCCCAGACACCACAAATCCCACCCCTGAAGCCTGGGCACTGCCGTGGATCGTGCCTGAGGTGCTCTGCCTGCTCCAGGCCATCTGTAGTCAGCCATGCCACTCCTTATTCTTGGAGTTTTCTGCCTTCCACCTCCATTCCCATCCCTTCCTCACATTTGGTGAGGTGGAATTCAGCCCATTTCCCCCCCAGACAGTAGCAGCAATTCCCTGGATCCATGTTGCAGGGGTATCCTGGCTGGAAGCAGGGACTGGCCAGCTCCAGCCACCCTGGAGATCTTCAGCCAAAAATAGCAGGATTTGGCCAAATCTGCAGCTCCCTGGTGCTCCCCACCCCCTGGAGATGACACACCCTCCCTCACCCACCATCACCTGTGTTTTCTCGGCATGCAGCCCCTCCATCCCTGACTCTGGCATTGCCAGACCCGATGTTTTTTCACTATAAGACACCAAAACTCTTGTTTGAAGAGCGGAAGGTGCAGCCAGTCAACGGGTGCTGCACTGAGATAGCGCTAAATTCAGCTCTAATTGCTCATTTAAACTAATTAATTTACCAAACCCAAGGAATTTTGAAAGGCTCCTTAGGAGTCTTACCCTCCCTTGTCCCAAGCATGGGATAGAGGGCGGGCAGGGAGCCCCACAGCTGCTTTCTTACAGCCTCCTCTGAGCTGCTGATGGCATCTCACGCCAGGAGCAGGGGATGCCAGGCCAGTCTGATCTGCTCTGGCAATTCCCTGGTCTCCAAGCATCCTTCCCCCCCCGCCTTCTGGAGCACCAGCGTGTTCAGCGTTCCAGGGTTTCGGCATCCGAGTTGCCTGACGGCTTTGGAAGGGAGTAAACATCCATCCTGCTGACACGGCAACAAAACCGGTGCGGCTGGAAGAGAGGAGTCAGCAGCAGATGTGCCCCTGCAAACTGCTCCCTGTGATGAATGCTCTTCCCAGATACTGCTAATCCTTTTTTCTCTCGCTCCTAGGCCTCCTTAATTGTGCTCCCCTGTGATTAAATAACTCTTTGAAGGCATCACTGGGAGTTGTTTCATCCACGTGGGAATGGCGCTCGCCAGGATCGCGGCCTTTGGCTCTGGGCACACGGAGCTTGCTTTGCAAAGGGGGTGGGACAGAGTGGTGTCCGGGGTGCTCTGGTGACCCCAAAGTGCTCTGAGTTTTGGGTGACCCCGAAAAGGTTCTGAGGAGACCCCCAGGATGGTCAGTGGGCTTGGTGGAGATGCAGCGGGATGCCCCACGTGATCCCCAAGGATGACAAATTCCCAGGGAGCTGCTGCTTTCCTGGGGGTGCTTCCTCTCCCAGGCACCCAGGAAGAGCATGGGTGTAGAGAGGAGAGAGGAAGCCGAGTGAGGTCACTTGGTTTGTTCAGACTGGAGAAGAGGAGACTGAGGGGAGACCTCATTGTGGTCTCCAGCATCCTCCCAAGGGGCAGTGGAGGGGCAGGTGTTGATCACTTCGCTCTCCTGATCAGTGGCAGGACTTGAGGGAATGGCTGGAGCTGTGCCAGGGAGGTTTAGGTTGGATCTTAAGGAAAGGTTCTTCCCCCAGAGGGTGGGTGGGCACTGACCAGGCTCCCCAGGGTTTGGTCACAGCCCCAAGGCTGCCAGAGCTCCAGGAGGGTTTGGACAACACCCTCAGGGACAGGGTGGGATTGTTGGGGTGTCCTGGACCGGGCTGGACTGGATGGTCCTTGTGGATCCCTTCCAGCTCAGGATATTCTGTGATTCTGTGGTTGGGCTGATGTGTTAAATCAGGCCACCTTGCCATGGGCTGAGGGCAGGTGGGTGCTGCTTTCCAGCTTCCACAGGCTTCCCTGAAACCAAAGCCTGGTTTTCTGAGGGATGCTGAAGCCTTGGTCTGCAGGAGGGACACAAAAACAACCCCAGGAAGGTTTAGAGAGTGTCTGAGGGGCTTTACCAAAATGCAGATTAGGAGGGAACTTAGAATCAAAGTATCACTGCATGGCTTGGGTTGGAAGGGACCTCAAAGCCCATGTCATTCCAGGTTGCTCCAAGCCTCATCCAGCCCAGGCACAGCCTGTCCCATCCCTGCCCACCCTGGAGCTCATGCCTGGGCTCCTGGAGGTGGAGGAGGCAGGTCCATAGATAGAGTCAAGTGATTGCCTGAATGTTCGTGTATCGGCAGGCAAGACACAACAGGCCCTTGTTGCAAAGTGCTTACATCCATAAAGGAGGGAAATAAATTAACAGATGCTTGTTAATTGACTTAATTACCCACCAGCAAACAGGAGACTGGGAGCACATCAATTAAAAAAATGTTTTGAGAAGCGTCTCATTGTAATTCTTTTCCACGTGCAAACCACACTGGTCTCTTCTGTCTACAATAGACTCCCCCAAGACAAGAAATGGGTTTTCATTACACAGGGAGGGATCAAAGTCTGAAAATGAGGGTTGTGGCTCAAAATGAGCCCTAAATTTATGCCCTCTTCCCAAAAGCAGGCTTGGGCCAGTATTTAACATAAAGCCACGCCAGGAGTGATTGCAACTAACCCTCCTTGAGCAAGAGAAATCCAGCAGCCAAGGTAATCCTTGTTTTCCAGTAAGGAGCAGGCATGAAGGAGGTAGGGCTGGGGAACTCTTAAAGGTATTTTTATTGATTTTTTTTTTTAAAGGTGCTCAAGAAGAAGCGAAATGGAAAAACTGAAGACTCGTTCCTGTGCCACGGATGTGTCCAGCCTGGGAGTGTGGGATGACTCTGTTGTGCTCCTGATGGGGCTGATGCTTGGTGCAAATACCCACAGCTGAGCACTGAGCCAGGTGGATAAATAAGAATTCAGAGGCTTGTGGCTAAATCCATAATTTTTTGTCCCAGGGTGGGTGCAGGAGGTCCTGTGCCAACACTGAAGCAAACAGTGCCATAGAATCATGGAATTGCTTGGGTTGGAAAGGACCCTAAAGGTCCCTAAAGGTTGGAAAGGACCCTAAAGCCCTGCCGTGGGCAGGGACACTTTACACTAGCCCAGTTTACTCCGAGCCCTGTCAGTCCCTTATGCACCAACATCCCTGCTGCAAACTGCCTGTGCACCCACCTTGAGCTCCCCCCAGCCTGGTACCTGCCCTTTTCCAGCCTCCTTTCTCCATGTGTTTGCCCTGTTCCTGGACTGGCAGGGGCGGCTGTGCGGAAAAACCAGCGTGGGCTCCCCTGGGCCTGCTGGCAGTCGGTCTCCCGGGCCGTTATCTGCGTATCATGATTAATGAGTGTCCCCAGGGCAGGCAGGTTATGAAAGAAGCCCCATTATCCTGCCCCTTGCTGCCTCCCTGACGTCAATGTGACGTGGGGCAACCCGAGGAGGAGCGCAGACTTTGGGTGCAACCAGAAAAAAAAAAACACCAACGAAAGGGTGGAGCAGGCGGCAATAAGAGATGAAGGGAGATTGTCTTATCACCCAGAGCTGGCAGCTGGAGTGAATTTCCTCTCCCCAGTGCAGACTCTGCAGCGTGGGTGATGTTCTCCCATCGTTCAGGTCCCGTGGATCGTGGGCAGCACTGGGGTGGGTGCAGGAGAGGGGGGTCAGCGGGACCAGGTCTGCGCCTCGCCTTGCTCAGATCTGATGGCACGTGGATTTTCAATCACACAGGGCTGAGGTTACACCACATACCTTTTACCACAACCTCCTGACGTGCATTGGCTGTTTTTCTATCCTTGGTGCTTGCGGCGGTTGCTGAATGCGGGTGACACTTGGGGACACGGCCTGGAAGAAACACCCTCACTGTGCTGACCAGTGCTCAGCTGGGGACTGCTGGGATGTCCCCAGGGTCACGAGTGTGAGCTGGAGGTTGTGGCCAAACACCCACTGAGCGGTGGAGATGGAGAGACTGGGAGGGGAGGGGGAGAGGCAGCCTCCCAAACACGGTGGCAGCGTAAGGCACTGGGATGCTCTCCTTGCTCCTGTTTGGGAATATCAGCCTCGTGTCTGGAGAGAGTCAGACACCGGGATGGCACCTTTGCTCTGCCTGTTCCTCAGTCTCCCACAAGCAATGAGGGCACGTTGCAGCCCTGGTGCTACAGCCCCGAGGGAAGGATGCAGCTTCCAGCACAGGAGCTGTGCATCCTCCAGCCTGGAGCCCGTGCGAGATAAGCAGCAGCTCCACAAGCACTCGGTGCCCTGCCAGGTACACAGCCACCCTGCCACCTGGCACTGCTCCTGGTTCAGTGCCTGGGACACTGATAAGACGGATAACTCCGGGAGCCGGACCATTGCACTCCCCTCCCTTTTGGAAGCACTGCAGGAACCCATCAGAGGGCGGCAGGGAGTGGAGCGGAACACGCCGAGGTCGTGGTGGGACCAGGCTCTCAGTGCTTGGCTGCTCTGTCCTGCCCTGGAGGAGCGGGAGCCAGGCGGGCTCCCTGCCAGCCCGTGGGTTCCCTGCCAGCCTCCCGTGACCGGTTTCCAAGCCCGGTGTGTCTTTCAGCAGGACGTGCAGTTCAGCACCTGCTCGTTCAGGCCCCTGGTTGCCACGTTACCTATTTGTCAGGATGCCTGTTTGACTCTCTGAAATGTGCCTGTCCGGCTCCTCTGGCATCCAACAAGCTGCTGCCTGCCTCGTGCGCTCTCCAGATTTGGGTTCCTCCTTGGAAAGCGGCCACGTCGCCAGCTATTTTTGGAACAGAGGCGTCTATTGTCTCGTGCTGTTCCCTGCTGGGTTCAGCTCCTGGCTCCCCAGGGCCCCCCAGCACCCTCTCCCTTCCCGTGGCATCACTCCTGGGTTCCCCAAGGCATCTCCAGTGCCCGGCACTGCTGCAGCCCCGCGAGGCCTGGCAGAGCCCCTGCCACGTTTTGGGGATGCCCTGAGCCCGTGTCTGCCCCACGAGCCATCGAGGGGGTCCAGAAGAGAGGTGGAGCAGGGTGTGTGAGATGCCCACCTCCAATCTGGTGTGATCCTCCTGTGATCCTGCGAGCCAGCCAAGCACAGGGAAGGACCTGGACCCCACCTCCCCAGTCTGAAGCCAGGTATGGATCTGAGCGGCAAGGTCTCCAAGCAGGATGGGTGGCAGATGGATTTTGGGGTCGGCCCCGGCATTAGCCAACACAGAGAGTGATTTCCAGGCAGGCTGGATGCTCTTGGCAGGTTGGAGTTGGAAGCTCCTCTGCAGTCCTTGGACTGTCCTTCCTTCTCCTGCTCCACAGCCCTCGGAACTGGGCTGAGTTTTGCAGCTGGGCTGGTGCTCCCCCAGCTCAGAACCACCTTCAGCCAAAAGCTACCCCTCTCAGATTCCACAGAAACGTTGGGTTCCCTTTGCTGCCCGTTTATTTGTGCCTCTTCCAGAATTAAAAAAAAAAGTAAATTCTGAAAAAATCGAAAACTCACCAATTCTCAACTGTGTCTGTTGGCAGAGGAGAGCAGGGCAGGGGTGGAGAGGGGAGACAGGACAGAGCTCTTTCAGCCTGAATCCACCTGCATGGACAATTCTCCACCCAGCCCCGACCATGGCCTGGCCAGGAGAATTCCTCCTGTGCCTCTGGAGCGCTTCCATCCCCACGCACCCATGTGTCCCTGCTCGCAGAGTGGGGTCAGCACGAGCCTCGGGAGAGCCTTTGGACAGTGCTCCATGGGCCAGGGGAACCAACAGCTCCTTCCCACCGCCCGGCCCCCTCCCTGCAGTGGGCTCAGGTGGCCCCTCAGCGTGTCAGAGAAGCTCTGTGCAATCTGTTTACTTTGGGACATATGCTGTGTTGATGCTGCCTGGAGTCTCGCTGCCTCTAATAACTTTGGGTGTAATTTTCTCCGGTTTGGTGCCTGGGGCAACCGAGCGACAGCTGTGGAAATAGGCCTCCAAGGAGGTGCAAAATGCTTGGTTCCTCTGGAACTCCTTTGCTGCTGCTGTAGGAAACAGGGCACGTGTTTCCCCCGAGGCACAGATCCTCCGGGGGGGAAGCAGAGGAGGGACACGGGACCCCCGTCTCCGATCTCGGGTGAAGGGTTTGTGCCGTGGTGTTTCCTGGGAGCCAGGTAGAGCTGCCTCCCCCAGAACTGGCTTTTCCATGTACATATTAGAGCGTATTTACGATGTAAATTAATAAGTGCCATCTGCTTACCTCTGGTGTTACGAGAATGTTGTCTTGTGACTGGCTACAAACAAGACAACATTGAAGAGGTAACACCTGCTCGTCCATATTTCTGCCATTTATTTTCAAACATTAGGGCGTTATTTTGGGTGGGAGGAACAGGTATCGTCTCCTCTTGCTGTGAATTAAGTGCTAACAAGTGTGTGGATTGCCAGGCGACATCCTTGAGGAATTAGTAAGGATGGAGCAAACTGCATCCAAGGGCAGAGGGACCTCGACAAGGGCTCTGTACCTCTGTGGCTTGTCCTTGACTGATGAAGATTTAAGGGGATGTTTAGCTGGTGAAAAGTTGCTGCTTGTCAAATGTAGAGCTCGCTGCAGGGATATATTGATTCCAGGCAAAAGGGGCCCCGGAGGTGAAAAAAAAAAAAGAGAAAGGTCTGTCAAAACATCCCACTTCAGCCTTCGGGGATGGGACAGTCTGGATTTTCATTTCAAAATCACAGCCTGCTTTTGAAATGGAAATTATTCTAATGCTGAGGAAGAGATGAAATCTTTCCCTTTTAGCAAAAGAAAATGGTTTGTTTGGCCTCAGATACATTTCCCTCCTCCCCCCCCCAGTTTTCCCAGAACAGAAATAAAATCTAAAGAAACAGAGAGTAGATGAAAAACTGAGATCCTCGCAGAGTTCCAGCTCTCATTTCCACTCAGATGTTCCCGAGCTGACATCCATCCTGCTCTCATCCCTCTCCACTCAGACGTTCCCGAGCTGACATCCATTGTCCCCTCATCCCTCTCCATTTCTCTCATCCCCTTATTTTTCCGTGGAACAGCAGCACCGCAGGGTGAGGACTCACAGGCCCGGGGTTTCATTCCTGGCAGCAGCCAGGGGCTGAATCCCAGTGTGGCTGTGCAGGTATTTGTGCAGGGAATTGTTCTGGTGGTGACCAGTTTTTATTTGATGCTGCCTGAAGCATCTTGTGGTGATCGAGCAGGAGCCTTTTCCGCTCGGAAAAGCTCCGTGGTGGAAGGGATGGCAGCTGAACTGCTCCTACTGGGGTGTAAGTAATGCTGATTTTCCCACTTTTCTGCAGCCTGCATAGATCTGCAGGATGGGGGTTTCCAAAGCAGAGCAAGGATGCTGGGAGAAGGGGTGGGCAGACCTCCTGCCCAAACCTGCAGAGATGGAGGAGCTCCTGATGAGATTGAATCAGGTGGGATTTACAGAGGAGAGGGCTTTTCTAACAGAGGGACAAGGGGAGAAAAGGGGAAAGTGGGTGCAGAAGGGCAGGGGACAAGTGCTGGGCAGGTCTGGGGCTGCCAGAGCAAAGTGGGGATGGGAAATGTTGGAAACTTTCATGGTGGGAGCCAAAGAATGAATGAGTTTGGAGATGATTCTGCAAAGAGATCCAGGCAGGGATGAATGTCCTGTTCTCGAGAGTAAGAGCTTTCAATATGACCCTGAACCCTGAAGAGGGGAATTTGGAGCCTGGAGCAGTCTCCAGGTGCATCCTTGGGGAGGATGGGGAAGCCTGAGGAAGCGAGCCACGAGGAACTTCAGAGTCATTTCTCCTGGGACACCAGTTGAGTGAGTTTTCTAACAACAGCTATTTTTGAGAGGTTTTTTATCAACTTTACTAAACAGACCTGACAGTGCCCCTTCCTCTGCCACAGACCTGCAGGGAGCAGTTTCAACGTGGTGCACCCCAGCAAGGATCTTCTCCCCCTGGGTCCACAGCCATGCTTGGCTCGGGAGCAGGACTTTT